GAGGTGCGGGAGCTGCCGGGCCGCGGCCCCGCTCCGCCCCGGCTCTGCCCCGCGCTCACGGCAGCCAGGACGCCGCCGCCGCCGCCGCCAAGCAGCAGCAGCAGGAGGAAGAGGAGGAGGAGGAGGAGGAGGAAGGTGCTCGCTCGCCCGCTCGCTCCCGCCGCCGCTCCGGCATGAGCGCGGCTTTCCAGCCCTCGCTGATGATGATGCAGCGCCCGCTGGGAAGCAGCACGGCCTTCAGCATCGACTCGCTGATCGGCAGCCCCCCGCCGCCCGCCCCCGGGCACTTCGTGTACACCGGCTACCCCATGTTCATGCCCTACCGGCCCGTGGTGCTGCCGCCGCCGCCGCCGCCGCCGCCCGCGCTGCCGCAGGGCGCGCTGCAGCCCGCGCTGCCCCCCGCGCACCCGCACCACCACCAGCTGCCCAGCCTGCCCTCCGGCTTCTGCTCCAGCCTGGCCCAGGGCATGGCGCTCACCTCCACGCTCATGGCCACGCTGCCCGGCACCTTCCCCGCCTCCCCGCAGCACCAGGAGGCCGCCAGGAAGTTCGCGCCCCCGGGCAACTTCGAGAAAGCCGAGGGGATACCCCCGGACGGCGGCGGCGACGAAGGCAAAGCCTTCCTGGGCAAGGACGGGGCCCTCCTGCCCTTCCCCGCCGCCGACGCCGTCCAGGCTTCCCTCGGTGAGTGAGCGCCGGGGGGGAGCGGGAGGTAGGGGTCGGGAGATGGGGGGACCCCCGGGAGGAGACGGGGCCCGGGGAGCAGGGAGGGCTGAGCTCCGCTCGGGAGGGTATCGCTAACATCGGTGCGACCGAAAGGTGCGCCGGTGCATAGGGAAAAAAAAAATGAGGAAAAACAAAAAAAAAACAAAAAGGATCCCCGAGGCGTCAGTTTTGGGGCGATGGAGCCGCAGGGCGGGGGCCGCGGCACGGAGGGTGCGGGATGCTGACCAGAGGCCTCTGCTTCCTTCCAGCCGGGGCTCTCCGGGGCCAGGGCAAGGAGGACCCCAAAGCGGAGGAGGACGCGAAAGGCAAGGAGGAAAGTTTCTCCATGGACAGCGATCTAGATTATAGCTCGGACGACAACATCCCCGGCCAGGCGGCTCACAAGGAAGAGGACTCTGGCAACGCGCTGGAGGAGAACGCCCAGAACCCCCCCAACTCCACCAACACCACGTCCACGGGCAAAAACCGGCGGAGGCGAACAGCCTTCACCAGCGAGCAGCTGCTGGAGCTGGAGAAGGAATTTCACTGCAAAAAGTACCTGTCCCTGACCGAGAGGTCCCAGATCGCTCACGCCCTCAAACTCAGCGAGGTGCAGGTGAAAATCTGGTTCCAGAACAGGCGGGCGAAATGGAAACGGGTCAAGGCGGGCAACGCCAACTCCAAGACAGGGGAACCTTCCCGGAACCCCAAGATCGTGGTGCCCATCCCGGTGCACGTCAGCAGGTTCGCGATCAGGAGTCAGCACCAGCAGCTGGAGCAAGCCCGGCCCTGATCTCTCCCTCCTCCCGCGCTCGGAGCCGCGAGGTTTTAACGGGAAAAGTTTCCAACCCGGGGTTTGAAGGCGACCCGCCCGCACAGAAACAAAAACGAGAGAAGCAAAAAACAAACGCAAACCAAAAACCGACAACAGAAAAACCCACCGCAAAAAAAAAACCTGAACCAACACGAAATAAAAAAGAACCCCGCGCGAGCGCCTGGCGAATCCCCGCCACGGGCGAACTTTAAAGAGAAACTTTCCGCTCACGGCGAGGGGAAGAGGCTTGGAAACTGTTTGGGTTCGGAGCAGGGATATCCCGGCTGGAAGAGACACACGAACACCTCCCACCCCCCAGAGACACACAGAGATATTTATTGCGAGGCTGCCCCGCTCCGGACGCCCTTGGACACGGAGCGGAGCCGGCGCTGGATCCCCCTCGGCGGAGCATCCCCAGCGAGACCGCGGCGCCTCTCGCATTCTTTGGGGTTTTCTTTCTTATTCGGGGGCGAAAGGTAAAAAAAAAAAAAAACCAAACCAACAAAAAGACGAGAGAACGAACAAACAAACAAACAAAAAAGAAACCCGAAAGAAAACTCAGAGTTTCATTTCACGCCTTTTTTATTGTTTGGTTTTATTGCCGATGGCTGAGTGGCAGGCACTGGGGAATGAGTTTTTAAATCTTTTTTTTTTTTTTTTTTTGCCTGGCTTTCTGTCGATTTGGTTTGCCTATTCTACCAAGCCATGTTTAAAGGAGAGAAGGGGAGGGGGTGGTGGGGAAAGGCAAAAAAAAAAAAAAGGCAAAAAAAAAAAAAAAAACAGCACGGTCTTCACTATTGTGTTTAATTTATTTCAATGTAGCTTATTTCCTTATAAGTTATGAAATTTAAAAGCAAACTAAGTCTTGTGAATAAAAACCGACAAAGAAACAAAAAAGACTTAAAAAAAAAAAAAAAGGCAGAAAAAAAGCCCTCCAGCCCCCGGCTGTTCTGTCCAGGATTTGGCGTGGAGCTGATTTTCCTTTCCCGTCCTGCGCTGCCGGAGCGGAGCGATGCTGCTCTCGCCTGTATTTTTGATTTTCTGCCTTTGTGTTTTTGTTTTTTTTTTCCCTCATTTATTGCCGGGGAGGGGGGAGCCGGGTGGAAAACTCCCTTTTTTTTTTTTTTTTTTTTTGGTTTTTTATTTTCTCCTATTTCCCTTATTTTGAGGGATGAGAAAGCTGCAGAAAAGCTGTTTAGCTGTGACTGAGCAGGGCTGGCGGGGGGCAGAGCACCCCCGCACCCTCCCCCGGCGCTGACCCCTGCTCGGGGCTGCAGCCGCTGCCCCCACCCCGTGTTTTTGGGCTGTGCTGCTTCTCCCATCCCCCAGCCCGGTGTTTAGGTGTCCGGTCGCTCCCCCGGCCCCGTTTTTGGGTTTTTTGGGGGGGGTGCAGCCGCTCCCCCCAGCCCCGCGCCCGTTTTCGTTGCGCCGGGGCCGGATCGGGGGTGGGAAGGGTCGGGGCCGAAGGGTCCCGCGCCCCCCCTTCCCTTCCCGCATCCTTTTCATCCCCTTTTTTCTTTTTCCCTCCCCATTATCCGCATCCCGGCTCCATCCGCGCCGGTGCCGCCGTGACATCGGCGGCGGCGATTTGGAATTAAAAATGAAATTTTCCCCAGGAAAACGGAGCGCCGGGAGGGTGACGGGGGGGTCTATTAAAATGAAATAATTAAATCTGGGGGGGCTCCTTCGGTCCCGGGACAGGCTGCCGGGTTTGGCCGCGTCACATCGCTCGCACTTCATCGCTTATTTATTATAATTATAATAATTAATGTTGTTAATATGATTTTGTTTGGGTCGGAGGGGGTTGGCCGCGGCTCCGGGGGTGCACGGGGGGGGTGTCCGTCCCCACCAGCAGCTCCCCAAAAAGGCACAAGCCCGGCCAGCATCGCCGGGGGCCCCACGGGCAGCCGCGGACACGCGGGGAGCAGCGGGAAAACACGCGCAATTCCAGCCTGCTTTAAAAAGCTTAAAAAAACCCCAATATTCATTATCATAATGATAACATTTTGGGGGGACGTTCTTCCGCGCGCGGGGGGACGCCGGGAGCCGCGGGACACGCGTGGGACAAACGCCACCCGCGGCGCTGCTTCTAAAAAAAAAAAAAAAAAAAAAATCATCCCTGGAATTGCTTGAATTTATCCCGGGCGGCTCTCGGGGCTGCCCGGCCAGCGCAGAGCCTGGGGCCACGGCTGTGCCCCCGAACCGGGCTGTGCCCCCAGAACGGGGTGCATCCCAAACCGGGCTGTGCATCCCAGACCGGGCTGTGCATCCCAGACCGGGCTGTGCATCCCAAACCGGGCTGTGCCCCCGAACCGGCTGTGCCCCCAAAACGGGGTGCATCCCAAACCGGGCTGTGCATCCCAGACCGGGCTGTGCATCCCAGACCGGGCTGTGCCCCCGAACCGGGCTGTGCCCCCGAACCGGGCTGTGCATCCCAGACCGGGTTGTACCCCCCAAACCGAGCTGTGCATCCCAAACCGGGCTGTACCCCCCAAACCGGGCTGTACCCCTCAAACCGGGCTGTGCCCCCTAAATCGGGCTGTATCCCCCAAACCGAGCTGTGCCCCCCAGACCGGACTGTGCCCCCGCTGAGCGCGGGGTTTTCGGGAGGAGCAGCTGCTGCTGCCCCGTCCCCGCCGGGGATCGCTCCCTGGCAGCCCCGGGCAGTGGCAGTCACGGGCTCGGCGGGCTGGGGTCCCCCGCTGCCCCCCTTAACCCGGAGCGGGGCTGGAGGGGGAAGCCCCGGGCCGGGGGCCGGAGGAGAAGGAGATAAACAAGCGAGGGGGTTGATAGCTGTCATCATCACCATCATCATGGCTTTCATTTGGCTGCCTAATGAGTCAGATCACAGGCAGAGAGAAAAATTGTCAATCGCCCGGGCTCTAATGAATTTTTTTGCAAATTGTAATCAAGCCAGGCCGTCTCAGCTCGCTGATTAATGAGACCCAGGAGGCCCGGCCAGCACCTCAGCTTTTTATTCCATCCCGTCCTCCCTGCACTAAATTAACAGCAACTTGTCTGAGCTTCAAATTAACTCCCAATGATTAATTCTGATGGGGGGGTCTGAAGAATAGCTCGTCCTAATAGGCACTGGCCTCTGATGCTGTTTGAAATTAATACACTTCCCCTTTGGCTGCCGGCTTTAATCCAAGGTTGGGTTTTGACATCACTATATTTGTTGTTACAATAAATTCCTCTTACATCTGCAGATCAAATAATTGCGGTGCTCGGGGAGAGCGGCCGGCAAACCCAAAGTCGGAGGGGACGGAGAGCTCCTCCGCCAGCCTCAGCAAAGCCCGGCTTTAGATTTAGCCAGAAATGTGGATGTTTGAGGCTCGGCAGCGGGGCTGGGATGGCGCTGCCTCGCTGTTAAATAAGACATCAGCGCCTTTAAATCCCCCCTCGGTCACCCCCGGCCGCAGCGAGCCGGCTCTGCCCGGAGCCCCCCGAACTCGGCAGCGCTGCCTCGGTTCTGTTGGTCCTGCCCGAATCGGTTTCATTGTCTCCGCCGGGACCGGCCGGGCTGGGGCTTTCCGTGCCTTGCACCTGTCCCTGCTGGTCCCGGGGATGCCACAGGGAGCCCGCTGTGCCCGGCCGGGGGTGCGGGGGCACCCCAACACCCGGGGGCTGCGCTGCCTCGGGAACGCCCTCCCGAAGGAGCGAGCATCCTCCCAGCCCCCCTCGGAAGAGACCCCCACCCCTGGGGTGTCCCACGGGGCCGGATCCATCTCCCATGGGGCCGGGAAGCGAATCCCCGCCGCCGCCGTCATAAAGCACCCGGCACCCTGACACACAAAAGCAACACCATATGTACGAAGACAACCTGTATGAATTATAAATTGCACCATAAAAATTGATTGCCTATCCCAGCCCTTCGGGAGCGCGGGCGGCGCGCAGGGGGCGGCACCGGGAGGGGACGCTGTGCCCGGCCACCCCCTGTCCCCCCGGGGTGCCGGCTCCCTTCCGTCCCCTCCCGCCGCCGCGGGATGCTCGCCCGCCCCTCGCTTGCTCTTTTCTCCCTCCCGCTACGCCTGGACCATAGAGAGCCTTAATCTATTTATTTCAAGCCACTTCATCCTCTCTGCCGCTTTTGTCCCGGCCCCAGCCTCTGGCTTTGTGGCAGGACCGCGGAGGTTTTAAAAGCCCCTTCCCCTATAGTTTGAGGTCTCCTTGGCTGCCTGAATTACAATGGCTAAAACAGGATTACACTGACCTGATCCTATTAAACTCGCCAATCGATCTGTGCCGCCCTCCCTCCGGCTCCGCCAACTTACTCGCCCAACTTTCCCCGGGGCTCAGGCGGGCGAGAGGGAGAAGCCAAAGGCCGCCTTTCCCAGCAGGCCTGTGGAGCAAGGAAGGATGGAAGGAAGGATGGAGGGATGGAGGCTACTTTTGTTTTCTCGGTTTGTTGCCTTTTTTTTTTTTTTTTTTTTTCCCAATGGAGCCACGTGGATTTTTAAACCTCCGCTTCATCTCCCTGAATATCTCGGCTCCGAACTAAAACGCGGCGTTTCCTCCGTGCCCCGACTGCAAATTGAGTCAAACCCCTAAAACTACGCTGAAAAGGGGTATTTCAGCTAACAGCAAAACGATCCTACGGAATGCCCGCAGAATTCCGTGGAATTCGTACAGATTTCAGCCACCAGCAAAACCCTCCGCTGTGGGGTCTGTGGGGCACCTCGCACGGCGTTCCTCCTTTTCCAGACAACCCAGTGTGGGGGAAACCCTGGGAATGCCCAGCCCGCATCCCTGCGTGCCCGGGGCAGCGCCCGGAGCATCCCCCGCGTCCCTCGGACACGGAGCGAGCCCCGGCTCCCTGGGATGTGCGGCAGGAGCGGGGCAGGAGCGGCCGCAGCCCCTGGGGATGCGCTGGGGATGCTCCGCGGATGCTCCGCGCCAGCGTCTGCGGGGGACCGGGAATTCATCCCCCGTCTGTCCCCCGGGAGAGTAATCACCAGGCAATGAAACCGGGGCTGGTC